GCAATAAATATTTTCATTTCACAATGCGACACATCAAAAGTGTTTTCTTTGAAAAAAGTATAGTCCTTGCTCATTTCAACTAGCAAATTCAAAACTTTAAATTGTAATCATATTTTAAAATAAATTAAAAAAATATCAAGAGGAAACTATTCTCTTTGCAGAAAATCTGGTTGTTCCCAAATACATTCTTAATGACTATCATTTGCTTTCCACATCATTGTCATATTTCTTTGGCATTCTATAGCATCAAAACTTTAAATTACACTGAGGAATATAAGGATCAAATGAATTCAGTTCTTTCAATATTTCCAATAATATATTTATAAATAATAAAGCAATTCACAGGCATAAGGAACTGTCAATTAATTCAAAAACATTATTCATTCATAAGTCAAGTAATGAATAAATAATTATTTAAAACAATATATTCTAATCAATGATTACTGAAATGAAAATCAAAATGAACGCAATTCGGAGATGGGAAGATTTCTATTTATTATTCCTGAAAGGTTCTGAAGATTGTTATGAGTACAATCTTTACATTAAGTCGAATATTTAATTATTAATTATATAAAATTTACTTCATCTTTGACTTCAACAAGTGTTAACAAACTCAAATTGTAACATTGTTACAATTGAAACATTGTTAAAAAAGAAAGAAGTTCAATTGGATCTCTTCTTGCTAATTCTCTTTACATGTTACTTGTAGAGATAAATCAGTTACACAGCCAAACTTTCAGATTTATTGTAAATCAATTGTTAAAAATGAATGGATATTATAAAACATAATAAAATTTCTGCAATTCAGCATGCCATAATAATGCAAGAATCTGAAAGTATCATTTAATGGATAGATCTACAATCTTAACTCTTGAGAAACATGTTTAATTTCTACTCCTTCCCACTAGATGATAATAATCTTTAAATAATAATTATTATTGATGATTTTCCTATTCAAAAAATTATTTTAGCAAATTTATTCTTTGTTTTCATTGTATTAACAAATTATTAATGTGTTTTTTAGATTTTGTTATGAGTTTTATAAATTATTTTAATGTTGGAAAATTTGTTGCTGTTAATCTAATCAATATCCATGGTTGCTGCAACAAACGGAAGCATTTCATTCAAATTGTTCTTATTATACACAAAATCAAATTGTCTTAATATTTGGTGAAGCTGCATCTCAGTGGGAGAAAGCTGTTTAACCACTTGAGAAATAGGTTCATTCTTGGTCAAAATGCATACACTTTCAAAATTCACATTGTTAGCATTTAAAAATTTTACAGCTAAATAGACAAAATTAAATTCTCAGACAATTTCAGATACTATATCTATGAAGTCAGGGAATGATCCCAGTAAAGGATGTAAATGATTGAAGTCGTACTTAGTGATAATCTTTAACACCAAATATGAGAATTAAAATCAATTAGTAGAGCAGGGACCCTGAGGGGTACCAAGTTATAAAATTATTATGTACAAAGTGAAAGTGAATGGTTAAGTGACTGGATGATGTAAACAAAAAAGAAGCAAACATTCATATTCAAAAATATTATTCATACTAATACATGTCTTACTTTTGGGATATTTGATCAGGAAATTTCATTTAAATTACCATCAGAATATTTCACCATAACTGAAGAGCTTACTTCCAAAGTGATGTATCTCAAAACAATACCATTTTTCAGGAAGAGAAAGTAATTAAATTCAGTCTTATAGTTCAAGTTAAGATTCAATGGTTTTCTAATTCTGTTTAACATTGGAGATACATCATTTTTGAATAGCTATTTGACAGCCTGAGAAATGTCTTAAGAATATATTGATAGGCAAACTAGAAAACAAAGAGAAATAGATATACATCATTTGAATTAAGCCCTTCAATTCATTGGGGCATAAACTAAAACATACTGATAAAAAATAAAAAGAGAAGAAAAGGAAATTCCTGAACAAAAGAAGGATTTTTTCCCCAGTATATGTATCAATATAAGAAATTAATTTCATAAAACATTATTATCTGAATTTAAGTGTGCAAATATTTCTCATGTATAAATTTTTGATCAACATAAAGAGAGAGATTGATAACAAAGAGTATTATTTTTAATATTTCTTTACATGTTGTAATACATTTTCACATTTAAGTGACAACTTCTACTTACTCATGAATACTCGTGTCAAAACATATATGTATTATACACTGTTTATGTTTGGTATGAAGATATACACCCTCAAAAAAGATTGAAAGTCAGTCATAATTCTCTATTATGTTTTTTAGTGATAGCAAATATGATATAGTTACTAACACAATTGTTTCTATATTTAACATTTTCATAAGCAGTATTGTAAAACAGGTAATCTAATGTATCAGCAGGACAAACTTTATATAAAAGTGCCTTAGGTTTGTTACACAAGAATTCCTGTATACATTTGTATAACCATACGAAATTTTATATGTATATATACACATTTGTATGGAATTGAAAAAAAAATAGCTTTCCTGTTCAAAGGTTTAATGCACCTCTGAAAGTCGAAATATTGTTGCTACCCTCATTTGGATTCAGGTTCTGGAGATCTCTGGGTCTTACTTAATTATCTTATCTGCATATCCATGATGTTGCCCCTTGAAATATTTTCAGTTGCATTGTTTTGGCACACCATGTTGTATTTAAGTAAATGTCACAGACATATAGAATAATTATTACTACCAGAAACATTCACTTTGATGAAGTAAGCAAATCAATAAAAGTATGTAAAATTCAAAAAAGATAACAAGGAGTATGGTTCTAAATAATGACTTCAGGCGTTCAGAACAATCATGTCATATGCTAATAAGGAAATTCATTAGTATTCAAGGTACAAGTTTCTTTTTTGTAATATCAAAGGCACACATCAATATTATTTTATATAGTTTTGCCGAAAATATGAATTTACTTTTCACACAACATTGAACATCAAATTAAGCTCAAACAGTCAACAAAAAAAGGGTTGGCAATCTGCCTATCAGTTCACATTCTCTGGCAAATATACTAATTTCAATTTCTTGAGTTCAGTGATTTGCAGAAACACGCCCAAGGTGAGAGATGATTCATGGGGCCTTACGCCCTTCAGAAGCCAATGATACAGGTTCAGAAATATAGATTTTACTAATTTTCTTTACTAAAAATAGAAATTTAATATATCAATTGTTAACTTTATAAATATTAACTAAAAGTCAACAAATAAAAATATATTTATATTCAGCATAAATTTAAAAAATCTTTATACGGAAATATCATATTGGCTGGACATTATACCTGACCCCTTCCCACTTCCACTCAAAAAATCGTGGGTGTATCTCAGATGATTTGTAAATGTAAATGTCCTGGGCCGCAGTTTTAAAATCATCAGATTGTTGTTCTCTAAAAAAAGGTTTAAAATAAACACAAAAGACAAAAAGCAGGTTATAAGATTTTTTTAAAGTATTTTTGTACAATTAATCACTTTTAAATGTCATTTCCGTATTTATAGAAATGCTGAATATAAAAATAATTTGTTCGCAATGAATTCAGATTGAAGTTCATTCTTAATAATTTTGTGGCCGAACAAACTAATTTTTTATTCTCTAAATTTGCCAACAAATATTCCTTTCTGAGCTTAGATGTAGCTTACCTTAATAAGTGTACAAGAACAATTTATTGGAGCTTTCTTCTCTCATTAGCATCAAACTCAAATATTTTATACAGAAGTTGAATATTTTTTACCCTTAGACTATTATTAGTTCCACCTTGGTGGAAGACATTCATGTAGTTCAACAAAAAGTGCATATATTTCAAAATTTTAGAAATACAAATCATTATGAAATGAAGCAATTAAGAAAGAACTGAAAACAGGCAACCTAGCAGAAGACATCACAAATTATCAAAGGAAATGGAGAAAACATGTGAATAGAATGGATAAACAATTTCTACCACTGTTGGCAATACCCTATAGATCAATGGCAAGAGGGATAGAGGCAAACTGACAAGAAGATGGCACCAGCAGGAACACTTCACCTCCTGAAGGAATAATGCTTTACTACCCACTAACAGGACAGGACCACCCCTCCTAAACCGAGGATTTGTTGTTGATGATGATGATGATGATGATAGAAATATAAATCATAAAAGCTCTTAACAAAACTTGGATACAAAATGGATATCAAATAAAAACAGTGAATAAAAAGACTAATGTAAACACTCTTCTCTATAAATTAGCGCTAAAATATGAAATGAACAGAAAGTCAGCCCCACAATTTAAAAATATTATGATTTTTTAAATTTAAATTGATCATATATTTACTTTTATTATTAAAGTAAGTGAATAGTTCAATTTTTCAATGTCAGAATTAGAACAAACTGTATTTTAATTACTAATTATAATTATCACGGTTTCTCCCTAAATTGATAGATCTTTCTAAAAGGATGTTTCTGAATCATGTAGTAAACACTGACATCCTAGCAGATTCCTTATAATTGGGTAATTCCAGACCATTTACAATGTAACACACATTTAAGAAAAAGGACAAATATTTAAACCAATGGTAGGATTCAAATTCAAGACACTTTGAGCTGAAATACAAAGATAATTCCATATCTACATACCTAGGCCATTATAAATGTACAACAAAACCTCCATTATTCTGGGTTCGTTTCAGAATGAAAATTATTATTAAATGAATGAATTGGAAGGGGAAAAATCAATTGATTTGGAAATTATTCTTAATTGAAAACAGAAAATGGAAGAAATGAAACAAACATTAATAATTAAAAAACAAAGAAAAAATAACCAATTACTGTTTCTGCAAAGAAAATTGTAATGCGAAATTATAATGTAATTTACACTCCTACAATGAACCACCATAAATTATAATATGTAGCTTTTTGAAGTTCTGATTCTACATCTTTTTGTGATTTTTAAATATTGTAAACTGGTCTTAAAGATATTTCAATAATATAATGTTCCATGTCAAGTCGTATGCTGATACTGTTTTCATTAAAAACTGAAAGCTTGTTGAACCACACATTCTACAGAACAAAATAATATATACATCATAAACATATATCTACATCAATATTAACCTGTAATTCCTTTGTTTATTCTGTTCCATAATTGACTTCCCAAAAATATCAAAAAGGAAGGACCCACCCCAGGTGTCATGCTGATTTTTTTAAAGAGATTGTGAAGAAAGTAGGTAGAAGAAATGTTTGCAACATGGTTATATTATGTTTGATCAGTTGGAAAAAAAAAAAAAAAATTAAAAGCTTCTTTGAATTATATTTTTCAGATTTCTTTCCAGTTTACCATTTGAATAAAAAATTATTATTTCAATTTTCCAATGAATATCCTCTGCAATGCCTTGCACAATAGAGGGTCTGTTGCATTTTAAATTTTTTTAAGAAAAACATGGGAAGAAAAAAAAAAGATGCTCAAGAATTAACTTGTTGTAACAATTTATTTGTTTCAGGAAAAGGGAGGATCTTGGAGCAGGAGATGGTGTCTTTCAGCCTCTCAAAGAAAAAAAGTATTCTCAAAACATTCTTCAACCTCCATCTGAAAGTTAATTGATTTTCTCAGGAATAAATTGAAATATATTTTAATATCAAAAACACACCTTAGGACAAGCCTACTGTTCATGATATTATTATACATGAATAAAATAAGAATTCTTTCTTAAAAGATTCAAAAGAATCATTAGAAATCTCAATAATAATTGAATAAATATTCATTTATATTTTAATTTCAACTACATACTAAATGAATTATCCTAAAGCACTGAACCACTGTCATATTCTCCCCTCATTTGATCCTTTTAAAACTGAAGAAGTCCAACTTGACAAAATCTTAAATTCTTCATTTTGAATGTAATTCACAGCACTCTTGAGTGAATGAAATGCATTTATAACATTTATTTGGAGATAACTTTAGTATTGTGTATAGGATTATTGAGGCAAAATCAAAACCAGGCAATTATTTTCATTTAATAACACAATTAGTTATACCAATATTACCACCTGTTTTTGGTGTAATATTAATCTTTCTTGATATTAATTTACACTTTTAAGCAAAGTTCAGAAAGTTTTAAAGAATATTTACATTTTAATTCTATATATATTTAAACTCATATAAATAAAACATTTAATGCAAATTAAGTTATTTTGTTACTTCAGGATAATTCATATTGGAACTTTTTTTGTTTCCAATATCATTTCCTAATAAAAACTTAATGAAATTGTGATTTCACTTTTTGTTCACAAAATGCAATGATGATTTTATAGGTTTTAACATTTTATTAATGTGAAAATAAGATAATATTTAACCAAATAATAAAAAAACACTAATCAGAACTAAGAATTTTCTAACAATCTTTCCCTAAAAAACTGTACCCTAAGTATAGTGATTCTTCTTTTACAAGACGACCCTTCTTTTAGAAGATTGTTTAGTCAAATATCTTGCTTTAATCTCATCTCCATTTACTGAATGTTAGATAAATCTGATGTCAAAACAAGGTAATTTATTTATCAATGCCTTATTTGTTGTTACACATACCACAGGCACCAGCATTTTGATCTCCCGTTTCTCACTAAGTACGACATGAAGTATTAAAAATTCTTTACAATATTTAATTATTTAGTAGTATACACTGAGTTAATTATTATAATGTATTTTGGTAATATACTAAGAATGTAGGAGAAATGAAATGGAGTATAGCAAAGATTTCTGGTACATAGTCCTACAACACACAGCATTTCATTTAATGGTGAGTTTTTGAGAAGCAGGTTTACAAAGTATTTTCATGCAGGAATATTCTTCAGAAAACTACACATAAGCAATGCATGATTGAGCATTATGACACGATATGAAACTTTTGCTGGCAAGAGTCATATCTCTCCAATAGCTCTTATATTCTTATTCTTTAAGTAGGATATGACAAGATATTGCTGCTGTAGAAAGACCTAACTGGAGAGTGTAACTGATCATATTGTGCATGTAAGGTATTGTACTTTTCATGAAAAATAGAAGTAATTTAAGACATTCTTTTATGATGAATATTTTATATTATCATGGAATACTAATAATAGTTTCTGATATCAGAACTTATTCCCAAGATGACAACAATAAACAATTTGAGTGAAAAAGAATAATTTATTAATGTACAACTTTTAACATATCCCCCTAAGTCAGTGATCTTGTTTTCAGTATTTATTAAAGGTAACTTGGAGGAACATTAATTGCAACTCTAATATGAAGGAAGTTTAGGAACTGAACTTTGGATTTGTCATTGTTCAATTCCAAACCTAAATGCTTGTTCATACCATTTAATTGGTGCTATAGAGATTCTTTCATTTTGTTCATTACCAATTTATATCTAGTTGCTCAAGCCTGTCTTGATCACAAACACACTCAAGTCATGTAACAATGTTTACTACTCCCAACACTGCATTATACTATTATTAATTTGTCATAATTATTTTGGGATTCAGATTCACAATTTTCTTACCACACCACACAATTAAGAGATTGAAAAGTTGAGTTTTAGTTGTCCTAAATCAACTGAATTACAAAGTGTAACTGAAAACCATACTGATTTAATACTGAATTTAATTAATTACTTCATTTCCCTTCTAACATTTACATATGTATTGAGATAGGTCAAAAAACTTAACCTTGGAATTTCTGTTTTCTTACTTATTATATGAAGCAAATGACCATGCATTACCGAGTTGTTTCTCATAGAATATAAATTTACTAGTTGAAACTGTGAAGATAGTGACATAATAAATGAACTGAATACATACAAAACTTATGAATGCTTCTTGACTGATATGCCTTGCTATTTCTACTTCTAAAGGAAACTAAAAGGAGAGGAAAAAATTATAGAAATTAAGTAGCTCTAAAATTTTGATGTGTTTTTGGGTCAAACATGAAAATAAGTTGATTTTGTCTCTGAATTCATGGGAGCATATTTAATCAGTAGATTGATCAACTGATGTTATCTTAACTTTCCACATTCCATTTTCTTTTCTTTGTGTAACTCTTTAAATTTTACATACAGTTTAGATATGATTACATTAAGATGAAGTTATTACTTTTATAAAATTACCATATTACAAAGCTTTTCTTCCGGTCTTTGAGTTTAGAATAAGGTGCACATGCATTTTATGGATTAAGTGGCAAGTCTAAAAACATGTAGACAGCTATTTACTTTGTGATAAAAAAAATATTCTGGAGTTTTATTGCCAACCCTTGCTTTTGACATTAATTTTTGTAGAACAGATCTCACCTTGTTCATGTGTCTAGCTGTATCACACAAGAAAATTCTCCTACACATGGCAGAACATGACACTAAGGAGTTTTGAATTAATTAATCATTAAATCAATTAAATCTGAATAATTCTACAAAAATTAGTTTATCACTGGCACTGTTTCACTTGAAGAGCTAAAAGGATTGTTTTCTATAATATACTATGAATATAGAAATAAGCAACGTATGTGAAATAAATTCAAAATAAGTGAACCAAAATGTGTTAAGAAACAAAATGTTTTTCAATTTATCACGACAGATTTGCCTTTGACAAATTTGTAATTAAAAGTAAATTGCAAGCATATATTCAAACTATTGAAGCTTTTTAATTAAAAGGTAGATATGAGATAACACTTCTACATTGATACAATAATGCACTCATTCAGTCTTTGTGCATCTCTGAGTGTACAATGCATGCTCTTAATTTAACATGGAAAGCTATTTACTGAAAATTAATTTTAAAACATGATTGTTTTGCATTATTAATGCATTGTATTGTAGTCTTTTTGATGTATACAAATGTTTTATTCCTTTTACAAGTTTGTAACAATTACCTCTAAACATAAGTAAATATGTGGACATGTATGATTTTCAAAAAAGTCCCATTCCATGTTATACTTATTGTCTTTATCCACAAGATACAAATACATTTTTAATTTTTCTATGTCTGAGAACTGTCAAAACTATAATTCAAGTGCATCAGTTATCAGTATATTTACTATAAATGTCACGTATTGACAATTTATTATTATAATGATATGACTTTGGTTAGTTACTGACTAGTAATCTCAATCTAAAACTAAGAAACAATATAACAGTTTAAGAAAGTGATTTACAAACTCTCATTAATATTAGATGATTTTATCTAACAATTTTCACATTAAACATTCTATAAAATCAAAATCTTGATACCAATTCAAATCATGTATCTTGCTAGTACTGCTTTTCACAAAGAACATATATGTTTAAATATCTTTCATTTCAGATATTTTATATACATGGTTTTTAATACAAAGGCCATTTCAATATTTTGTCATTATATTCTTTTACTGAATACAATTGACATATTTTTCTCATTATTTCACAGAAGTCTTTGCTTGCTTTAAGAAACATTACGCACACATGGAACACTTGCACCATTCCTCATTAAAATACACAAATATTAACAAACAAACAAAACACAACAATCTGATGTTTTCTACAATTGTTCACTATTTTGTTTTTCATCCTAAGTTATAAAAATGCACTTACCTCATATATGAGACAACAACAAAATTTAACAGTCAATAGAAATTTAAGGAACCTCCACATAATACAATCTTTTGAAAGGAATCCAAAGACAAATATGTTCCTTCACAGCACGACAACTTTCACAGCACAATATAACCAATCAACTTCACACTGTGGTTGAAGTTTGGCACGGATAAGTGGGATGGCTACACACTTAACAGTCACACAGGACATTCATCACTATCAGCTGCATAATCAGCAGAATTATCACTGTCTTCATCTACTTCATCTGTGTCAATGTTAAAATTATTCCTCCAGGTGGATGAAGAAGGGGATTCTTCCGTACATCCATCTTCTTCCAGATCCAATTCCATTACCATACTACTACTAGTTCCATTGCGAACCAATATGTCAAGATTCGGGGAGAGAGCATCATCTGCATTATTGTCGAATGCCCTGGAAGTAAATTTATTATTAAACTAAAACATTTATTTTCAGTAATAAAGGTGGCAAAACATCAATACGTTCTTACAGACATGTCTGAGAAATTAAATATTGTTCAGAGTGTGCCTAAATAAAATTTGACTAAAGAATTCACGAAGTTTTCAAATGTTGGAATAATATAAACATGTGAATTTTATTGTCTGAAATAAATTACATCCTGAAATTAATGGAATTAATTTGTCCTGGCCTTAACAACTAAAACAAGGCATGTGTGTTGTAGCACCTAGGTTAAAGAGTGGGGAATTCAATTCTCACCATTGGTATTGATGTGAATTGTATATGTGCACACAGAAACATTATTGGAGCTCATCATTTTAGTTTAACAAATGAAAAACTTAAACCTGTCCTCTACTTGAAATTTAGTGGATAAGATCATGATAAACGATACTGGGACAAGAGATAGCTGTTTATGGATTCTACAACAGATTTAAGTGAGAAAATAAATTGTGTAAATCAATGAATTGTACCCTGATGCAAGAAAACCTCTATGGACAATTAGCTAACTCAATTATGATCAGTTTCAGAGTTACATATAAAAGAAAATGAGGTACTTTATTAAACAACTTTTTGCTTTCATTTCCCATTCAACAATGAGTATAAAGAGTTGTAGCATACAAAATTCAAATACATAAGATTTACATAAATCACTTGAAGATTTCATTACTTTATGTTTTTAGTAATGGTAACAACAATAATTTCTTTCATTGTATGGTGAGAATTTACTATTTAATGCCAATGAAAATCCAAATAGCAGACAGTATCTTATGTTTGTTGGCATTGTTTGCAAACATGATTGCTATTTTAAAATGCACATTTTCATTGAAAGTTAAAACTTAGTCATTTACTTTCATGTAATACAAAAAGCATTAAATATTGATTCATTTTTGAAGGAAAGCCAACAAATTAAAAGCTAGCAGAAGCATAGAAATTCAAAGAGCATATGATCAAACACAAATTTATAAATTAAAACTTGTATTCCTTAGTCCTTTTTTATAAACAACACAAAACAATTCAAAAGATTTTTCAGCAAAGGAACCAAATAAGAGAAGATTAGTAAATTTGCTAATTCTTATAGGTATATGATCTATATTTCATACCCTTATATCAAGAACTTATGGTACACTTACGCATGTCTTATATTTTCTTTGAATATTTGGTCAACATCTGCTGAATATACAACAATTAATTTACACTTCAAACAGAAAATATTATTGATAATTCTGAACTACAGGAAAGAGATTTAATTTCATAATATCTGGGGTTATTGATTTCTACATGTTCTTTTGTGCCCATTCCTCTCTTCTTTTATAAAATTATATTTCAATATTAGCAATGGATATTTTCTATTTCATTATTCTTATATATTTTTGTCAATTCTTTTCATATTCTCTAATTTTCTGAATCATGCTCTTTCCAATCCCCTCTCAGCCTGTCCCTTACCTATTGCCTTACGATATCTTATTCGAGCTTTGATTATTTGCTCTTCTCTTTGGTTTAATATTCATGTTTTACTACCATTAATTCTAATTTGGCAAAGAAGTTGCAAAAAATAATTTTTATTCCAGCTATAACTTTCTTGTGATATTTTATTATACATCTAATGACCTAAGTTTTACCTTTTACTTTGACAAGTTTTTCTTTTAGTAATATACTACATATTTGTTTATTTATTATAATACTTATATAATTATTACTATGTATGTTTATTATTAAATTTATTTATAATTAATTAGTTTATTTATACATATGCATCATACTTAATATCACAATCAGAGAGAATATAACACAATATCGTAATCAAGCAAGGGGAAAAAGCATGTGAAGTGGGAAAGTACAAAAGACAATGGTTCACAAATTATCTTGGAAGAGCCATAAAAAAAATGTGGTGGGTGGCCCAGTTGTTTTGTGAATGAATGCAGCCATTTGCTAGGCTGTGTGAATAATTGAATGTAAAAGAAAGCAGTTAGGGACTCACGCGATTCAACAAGACTGGTGGCGTTTGCACGTAAAAACAAAGAGAGTTAGTTTGTCTTAAATATTTTTAAGATGAAAAATGTTTGTATATCAATTGAAACTTGTACATTTTTAGTTTAAGCATGAATTTGTACAAAAACAAATTCATAAATGTCTCTTTATAAAATAAAATGTATGCGTCGAATATGTAGTTGTCTCTGAAATTCGATCATTCCTTCCGTCCCTTGGATATTTTGATCTTGACTGAGAAGTACTTCATGCAGATGATGATGCCTATTGAGCACTGCAGGTAGTCCATGGTTTGCTATCACCTATCCTTTACCATTGTGGTACCTGGATGACTCCTGCAGTACAAATGCAGATTATACTCTCATAATTGGCTAGCAGTTTATGTGAAACAATTTTGATGTGATAATGACCAATGAGAGTAATTATACAAATGAAACAAATATGCACATTAACAGATAACTAAATATATTTAAATAGCATCAATGTGTGGTTGTAAAACAACTGGCATGATCCACCACTGGAATGAAATTTGTTACTTGTTCTATTATTCAATTGTTTATGACCATGTTCACTCTGTATTCTTTCCCTGTTATTCTTTTGACGTTTATAAAATTTGTTGAAATTTTCATTTATATATATTGTTTCAAAACTGTTACTCTGCATTATACATTATCAAATGGTGCCAAATTTACTTGGTCAATGGATTATATAGTTTTAATTTTCATTCCATCAAATTGTGACAAATTTACTTGGTCAACAGATTGTATAGTTTTCATTTTCTTTCCAAGTTCTACAGATGCTTTTTAATTTCAATATGGTTTATGTATAATACAGGTACTAAAAAACAGTAGTGACAGTACCAAGTATTCCGCCTTGCCTGAAACCAAAATTTTAGCTGGTAAGCTTCCATTTTTGATTCCTTGTATTCATTTCTAATAATTTAGAAAAAGTATTTGTCATTCTTGACTTTGAAATATTTATTTTAACTCTAAGTCAGACTTGTTCATAGTTTATTAATAACACACAGCAGTGCAGCATGTTTACCATAATAGTTCTTTTCTTTATTATATTCAACAAATGATATTTATGACTTTTCACTTTTTTTGTTACAATTCCTCCCTCTTCCATTATATTTTCATTGCTTTCTTCCATTATTATCTTCTATTTTAGCTATTATTTGCTTATTTAATAATACTTTTATGTTATTTGTTAGCTGATTTCTGGTTGGCCACTTATCTATAATTTTCATATTTGTTCGTTATTCTTATCATCTCAGTGATACTTGCTCGGAGCCAAAGGCAGTGGGTTCAAGACCTGTGGATAGCATGGTGTGCTTCTCCTATCATCACCCCTACAACCTCTCATATATATTCATTCCTAATGATTACAGATGGCAAACATTTTTGAGCAGAAACATTAGTTTTATAACATCAATGTTTTGCTCATGATATAAATAAAATTTCCTGTATCTATTTTATTTGTGGATTGTTTGCAATCGAAGCGATTGGTAACGGTCACTATTGTCGATTCCCAGGTGGCATGAACATTTTTGCTATTTGCAACCTTTTTCCATTGTTGTACATGGTAACATTAAATTGCACTTTGAACCTTGACTACACAGACTATTGATTAGAAAATTAAGATGACAGTTAAATTTAAGGCAGAATGTTCTTTAAACTAATATTGACGAGTTATGTATTACATTAGAACCAAGACATTTTACTTCAAAATGCTTCATCATTTTTAAAACATCGAAATTTTAACCATCAATGTTTTTTTGTCAATGTTTTCATCACCTTTTTGTGATGTATTAATGTTTTGTTAAAATTTTCCATTACTCCATATGATCACTCCCATCCTCCTCCACCTAGTGCAAGGCCGTGGCACCACCGCTGCGATAATCTGTCTTGGGAAAGGGGAGGGCATGTTGGTATAAGTCTTCTCCTTCATCTATGCTCTGGAACTGAGATGGCACATATTTTTATCATCATTAATCTTATATGGTGTATTTTTGTTCCTGATTTATATAGATGCCTTCCTATCTTCTTCATGCCCCCCAGTAAATTAGTCTGCTTGCATTTTAATTTTCTTTCTACATAGTTTTATACATTGTTCAGGGTAGACTTATGTGCAAACTTGCTCCAGGAAAAATTAACATTTTGATCTTACTTCTCTGTTCATGTTCTTTTGCAGGTGTACCACACATTCGGTGATTCGTGAGCAACTTCTCGCCGAATTTGGTAAAAGTAGTGTTCAAGCACCATCAAATAGGATCCGACCTTGTGCATTTACAATATGCTCAATAAGATTCCTAATAAATGTTAGGAGTACCATAGATTTAACTTTGTTGTAAAGATATCAGATCATTAGTAGTTCAATGATACAAACACATTTTTATGTAGATTTTTGCAATGTTAGTAATATGTTACTTGAATTCCTTACATTTATTACAAAATTTAAAAATACATTGATTCTGAAATCAGCAAAATTTACTGCATTTATGCTTCCAGAAAGGTACAAACTCTGAAGATTAAATTTAATAAGATGCTTTGAGTTTTATATTAGAATTATATATGGAAATATACATTTTAATAACATTTTAAACATGGTTTTTAATAAAATATCCCAAACTGCAATATCAGTGGTGTACTATACATAGCAGCAATTCTAATTTCCAACAAATAATGGTTAACATATTATTGAAAATTTACTTGTTGTACCAATGAATTCAAATAACCAATAATTTTATCAAAGACAGTACACATTTTGCTGAGGTCTACCAGAAACAAATTTAAAATTGAATGTTCCTGAAATCTACTCCTAAGATTCAACATTTTAATATTTTTCAATGTTCTAATTTACAAAGTTATATTGTTGCAAACAGAGGGCCATAATTGGTCAGTTTGTTGTCCATTCTGGTTGAATTTGATAGGCTTACATGGAATATATAGCAGCCACACCTGAAGTGTTCTATGATTCTAGTTTCCCATGTTTACTACATGTCATAATCGTGTTCTGAAATGCAGGAGTGTCAGCAACCCAAGTCCCAGTTAACTCAATTTGTATGTTATTCCACACTCAGAACAAACATATTTTTGGAATGCAACAGCAGCAATTATGTCTGTTGCAGTTACAGAAAGAATGAATTTTCTTTCAGCAAGTTAGTTATAAAATAATGAACCATAATTTCATCAAAGCATTCCATTTTAGCTATAACTTCATTAGGATTAAATGCAGTTTGGTACTGCCACTTGTTGTTAAGGTAATATACAGCACTTACAGGTACTCTAATGTAACTAGTTTAAATCGGCAAGAAAGCACAAGTAAAATAATATGTAACAGCAACCATGCAATTATCTATTTGATACAGGAAGGGATTTATCTAAAGAATATCAACAACTACAGAATGCTTGTAGCAGTACAAAATAGCTACCCACAGTGAATCGCCCATAATATGTTTTGCTTCTCTTCTGCTATGTTAATTTAATCTTTTAATAATTGTTGCTGCTAAAGGCTCAATTATTAAGGTATAAGAGATTGAAGAAGCTTACTCCTCATCAATGAATTAAGTCAGATGAGGAGAAAATAAACAGCAAAATAAGTTAATTACACATCATAATTATATCACTTGCAATATAAAATTGTTTGCATATGTTTTGAGGTAAAATGTAAAATATTAACTATTAATTCATCTTCCATAACAAAATTGTAAATGAGAAGCATTAAAGAATCATAATAGAAAATTATTAAAAAGCTTAGCTGATGTAAAGAAAATGGTGATTATGAACTGAATTTTAAGAGCATTCTCTTGAAGAACATCCTCCCGTAAGAAATTCTACTTCTGCCCTTAGTTTTGGGCACTTCACCTTGAAGCTTACTTTTGATTTGAAATCATAGGATTTCAAATCTCAATAGCTCAAAGAAGATAATTCATTCAATAAAGAAGTGGTTGGGAACACTAACGTTTGGCAGAAAGTTGAGCAAACACCACTCAATTTAGAACTAAAAAGACAAAATATACCCTTACATATCCACTAAAAGAGTATATTCTGTGGGCAAATCGTTACATGCAAATTGCAAAGCATACCCCTAATAATAATCTTGGCATCAACAATGCCAACAAATGTGTGATGATTTGTATAATACTTCGCAGAAAATACCTTTAAATACCAATCTAGGTAACTGTGAAATTACAAAGAAAACATCAGCTCTACAAAAACTATTAGCTACATGCTGAAGTGTCAAAAGCCAAACTCCTGAAATGCATCAGTGCAGAACACACATCCATACTTATACACACGGCTCCATGCAACACCCAGGAACAGAACAATTACTTACACTCTTTGGATGATAGTTACATCTCATCATCCAGCAGCCTGCAAACATCAATAACACAGTCAAAACCACCTGGTACCATTTCACTACTAGAATGTGCAGCACAGAAGAATTAATTTCAAGCATACCTCATCCATACTCATTCCTCTCAATAGGAATCTGCACTTCATCAAATGAACTTCTCTACACTTCTTGTAAATAATTAAGATATGACTTAAGAAAGGAAATGATAAATAAAATATGATAAATTTTTCTGAATGGTTAATAGATGATTTTGTTATTGTTGATTTTGTTTGGTTGCTGAGCTTTTTTAAATGAATAGGCACAAGCTCAATCATCCGTATTAAAATTACTTAAATGGAAAATATTAATATAAATTTTTCACAAAATAACAGAAAGAAAGGCAGAAGAGATAACAAAAATACAAGATACAGGTAAATAAGAGCAAAACTTCATGAATGAGGAATCTAAGACTAGAATGTATGATTGTCTACTACATCAATATATGAAATTGAAAGATAAATTATATTAAAAATGTAATTCAATGTGAGTGTTCACAAAAGCACTTACATATTTAGAAAAAAAATCAATCATCATTATTATTTCAAAAAAATCTTTTCTAAAAAAGGTATTATTTAACACTTTAGAGGCAAGATACAACATTTTGAGATCAGTATATGAGAAAGTATATGCAAGTAATTCCTGAAACACTGTGATAACAATGGATTTGAAAAGATCAATGCAAATTGTACAGTGTAGAAGAAATTAATTCAAAACAATGAAATGCAACATCACATCAACAATTTGAAAATGTAATATTTTATTAGTAATAAACTGGGTACACGGTATAGGCACTAACAAACAATAGATTAACCAGTGAATCAATTAGCTCATGATGAAAATGAAATATTCATAAGATGAAAGTAGAATAAAACTATCTGAACAAGGATTTAAAATATATTAAATTAAATACATATTCATGGGATGCAAATAATTAATGACTTTTATTAACTCTCATAATTTAAAAACTGAATTTCGTTAAATCATGCTTCCTCATTTTAGAAGAAAAAGGGCACAATCTACAACAGTGAAGTATTATGTGTTTTTAAAACAAACTAATTATAAAACTCTAAAATTATTACCAGAAAAAATCTAACCAAATGTATGACTCAAATACTGAATCACAATATCGCTTAATATAGATCAAAATTATAAATACAACACAGGTTCCCAACATCCCTTGTAACAATCTTTTGGAAAACAGTATTAGAGCCATAAATAATTCAAGTGAAATCCCTCCCTCTAAATTGATGAGAAATTTTCTTAGTGATAAAAACTTTGTCCAGGTTTGATGAATAAACATTTACACATCTTTGCTTTCATTTGCCCATCCATTCCTTCATCCATTCACATGTGTGACCTTTGTAGTTCCACAGTCTTCTCAATGCAACAAGACTCTCTTGATTAATCACACACATTGTAATATGATGCTAATAGTAATGCACATATGTAGATGACATTGCTATTTTTTATTCAGCCAAATCACTGGCAATGGTCAAATACAAATACCATCAATAAATTAGTACAGAACGCGAAAAACAATGATTTCTCATTTATAGCAGCTGAAACCAGATGCGTTCACTTCTGTAGGAAACGGAAAAGATACAGAGATTTAGATCTGGTGCTAAATGGTGTTCAACTGATGTACAATGAAATGGCAAAATTCCTTGGTTTTATTTTAGACACATATTTAACCTGGAAACAGCATTTAGAATATACCTTGCCTAGATGCAGAACAGCTCTGAACATAATCAGATGAATTTCCCATCTAAATTGGAGAGCATATAGAGACATCTTACTTCACCTGTACAAATCCATGGTGATGTCCAAAATAGATTATGGGTGTGCAGTGCACGCCTCAGCCAGAAAGACAAGATTAAGGAAATTAAATCCCGTTCACAATGCAGGCCTCTGTTATGCATCTGGAGTGTTCCGCATTAGACCTTACTTAAGCCTCTATTGTAAAATTAGTACCATACCGCTACAACACAGACGACAAACACTACTACTCAACTATAGATCACAGATGCTGTCACTACTGGTACATTTAAACCATTCAATTGAGATAGTCAATGGCTTTAATATCCCTCTACAAGCAGTTTTGAAACATCAGCCAAATAAAATTCCAGTTTGGATGCTGAAAATGCCACAAGTTAGACTCAACACTACCAATGTAAAGAAAAAGGAATGCCTTTCCATAGATCTAAAAATCAGATTTCAATCAGTTCTTGAAAAAGACATGACAAATCACGCAATAATCCACACAGATGGCTCAAAATCAAAACATTGGGTAGAAAGCGCATTTGTAACTGAAGATATATCAAAAACTTGGACTCTTCCATCAGAAGCAAGTGTATACACTGCAATAGAACAGCACACAATTCGGCAATCTTTGCAACACTGTGAAACTCTCAATTCAAGAAAATTCGTCATCTGCACAGACTCACTAAGTCTTCTCACTGCAATAGACAGATGCCACACTGTAGACCCACTCCTACAAATTATTCTTATATCATGCCATAAATTAGATCAGCAAAGTGCATCAGTTATGTTCATCTGGTGCACTGGACACATAGGTATCCTAGGCAATAGAGAAGCCGATTCTGCAGCACGAAATGCTGTAAATAACCAATCAGAAATGAATATTGAAGTACGTCCTCAAGCTGTAAGAAATGCTATTCCGAAGTGCATCCTCACAGCATGGCAGACCACATGGAATAGCCTTCACGTGAATCTAAACCTGATTAAACAGAACATCAGTAAATGGTCACCAAATGTCTGCTACCCTCAAGGAGAGAAAGTGTGCATAACCAGACTAAGAATATGCCATGCAAGAATAACTTCTTCATACATGCGAAGGAATGAAGAACAACCCATCTGCAGCTGCAGAAGAGGTCTGTCAATGAAACACATTCTGACAGATTGTGTAGATTTCTCAAGACTTAGGGACAGATGCAGCATGAGAAGCAACATTAAGGAAGACCTTGGAACCGACAAGACGGCAACTGACAAAACAATAAAGTTCCTCAAAGAGGCCAATATTTTCTACAAAATTTAAATAGTATATGATTAATTTTAACATCAGTTAGTAAAAAGGCTGAAGGTCTCAGTTGCCAAGCCTTTACACCATTTAAAAAAATTAAGAAGTGCTTTCTTTATCTTAAAACAAAGAAATCATTAATCAGAAAGTATCTAAAACACTCTTTTTTTCTTTTTTTATATAAAATTACGTATTAACAAACAAAAAGGTTTTTTTGTTTTTTTTATAATTGGAGAAACAAGTTTTTAATCTATTGCACATTTCAGCAAATTTTCTGAAAAGAATATCTAAAAGATCAAAAGTCATTCTCCTGTCACTTTGGTTTCTAATCATGTTTTTACTCTTCGCTAGTTGGTGAACACTACTTTACTCCAAAGATATGTATTCAATTCAACAGAAATGTTACCTTGGAATTAATTTTATAAGAGTTAATTTTTTAAAAATGTGTAAATTATATGTTAAGGTAAATTTTACATGAAAGACAGAAGAGAAGGTCAGAAGTGTAAGGATTGGATGGGGACTGCATCTGTGCACCCAGCTACATCTGTGAAGGAATTGAAGATGAATATATAGAGAAATGAGAAGAGGAAATGAGAGTTATCTAAAAACTTTTACAACAAAACTACTTCTACTAGAAATATTAATAACCTTAATTGTCAATTTAAAATTTTACAAGACCTGTGACAATGATTTTAATTCTGGTACTAAGAAACAGAGAAAGAGCAAACTGCATTATAGTACACTGTTCCTCTTAGACAACGATATAAGCATAGATTCCTTCTAGGAAGATACATAAAAATTAACTTCTTAATACACTTTGTTATTTGGATGAGAGATGGGATTAAGGGAAATTTCTTTAGCATAAAGAAACTAGAGATTAAATTGACAAGTAAGCATTAACATATAATGTGTATGTAGGTTTTTAAACTATGAAAAGTGATGTAAGTAAGCTTTTTGCTTTACTTTAACATAAAAATTTTAAAATTTTTTTGAAGAGTTAAAAACACTGCAGATTTTAACATAATGCATGGTGTAGATTTCTGCATTCTTAGTAATACAAATGCTCTTTAGTCCTGAGGAAGACCACGACAAGGTGGTCAAAATGATGGAAAGCCTTTGACATTGCATTTCCTCGATAGCTGGGAACAGTAGATGTGAAGTTGTTTCAATTCACACAACTGACCTACTTACACATTCATTTACTAATTTTTAATGTTCTTTTGCCTTTTTTTTCATTCCTTGCCTCCTTTGTTTTCTTTTATATTTCCCAGCCATTGAAATTTTTGAGTAATTTCTTCTGATCCTCTCATTTCTCCAATTACATAAATTGTTCTAAAGTTCATAAGTATTCTTTTGTTGATTTATCACATCACAGTAACACCATTGATCCACTTTCAGCATTTGTATTGTATTTACACAGTTAAATATCAAATTTACATATACAGTGAAGCTGATCAAAAAAGTCAATAAACAGTCATGGAAAATTTTTGTTTAATACACAGTCAATAGTATATATTGGTACAAGTGTCAAACTTAGCATAACCCATCTAAAAAATGTGCATTTTTTCAAAATCTTTTGGAAACATCTTGTTCATTATATGTGATTATTCTATTTAGTGGTTTATTGTAGAAGTCACAGGTGGATCCAGAAAGTTTTTGAAGTGTTTGTATGCATGCACACAAATGCATGAGGGGGTGAGGGCAAAGCAATCATGATGACACAGATTGAGTCTTATTATTTTTTAATAAATTGTTAATTCAGCTGGAGGTGGGGCATGACCCCAATGCTCTCCCATTCCTTCCAATCATCTTGATCCATCATTTTTAGTAATCAGATAAAACATGCTGGACTATTCGATGAACAGAAGTCTGATCGCCCTCTGGTTTGCTCAGTGATCTATTCTCCTACAGCATTACAGTTGGACTACCACAACATTGCAGTCAATGTTCAACTTCAGCAATGATACATGGAGCTTTAGTTTCTATGAAGATTATTTGCAACCATGTCATTAACCCACCAACATTTTAGATTCACCATATTGGCACAGTTTACATGCTTAACAGTTACCAAAATACTGGCTCAAAAGACAGTATGATAGTTTCTTTATATGTATATATAATATTCACTGACATATGTCACCAGACTTGCACACATGCAAATTCATGTTTTTTTTTCTTCTTGCTTATCAAATGCAAATTTTAATTTTGGCTAAAGTCATTCATGAAAGATTTGTAAGCTTTAAAATTGGATGCACAGAACTCTACAATGCTTAACCATGATTCCCATTATGTGATATTACTACAGAGCCTGGAGGCAGAAAAACATCAGATGACAAAAACATGCACACGCCAAATTCCAAGAGTACAACCCACAATGGCACTGTGCAAGTGGTATATTGTATTTCATTTCGATATTGGATAAGCACTTGTGTACGCAAACATCCCAAGCTAAGATCTGCAATATACTCTTACAAATGTCACTGCCCTGAGGAAGCCTGCGACGTGTCAGGCGAAACGTCGGCACCCCAGCCAACGACGCGGCGTCTCCCGGATAGCCAAGAATTTATACGTTTTGTTAACTTTCAATACTAATGAAAGTCATTTAATATAGCAATTGTTTACATTATAAATACTAACTATAAAACAACAAATAAAAATACATTTTATAATCATCATAAATGAAAATATTCTTTATAAGAGAATATCAACTCAGCTGCACACTACAGCTGTAGTCTCCCTCTTCATGATTTGGGTTCAGTATGATACAAAATAATTTTTTGGTCAAGCCTGAACAACTGGAATAGAGTAATTAACAAATATTCTTAAAAATGAATTAAAAATATATGTTTATCTAAAAATCCATTTTCTAATTAATACTGTGCAATATTACTGGTAAAGATGTATAAGAATTATTATTATTTTTTGACATTCTTTGTTAAGAGAGTCTCCAGTGCATGTAGGAATAAATTTTAAAATATAATAAAGAAGGTTACACAATTTTAATGTTGATATTAATATATACAATACTTGTGTCACTCTCTTCTTCTAAATGCTAATACTACTACATTACAAAAAAAAAAAAAGTAATTAACATAAAATGCTCAACATAAATACTCACTGATCATCCTGTTGATCATTTCCACCTTCTTCAGCAACTAATAATTCATATTCATCTGCTGCATATCGGTCCCAATCTGACAGCTAATCAAACAGAAAAGAAGACATATCTCACTCACAGAATTCTTACTTCCTGGCATTAAATATGAAACAAAGAAGTGGTGACAACATAGTGCAGCCTTCACCTCTGTAATTTTTGTCACCCAGAAATTAAAGGAAAGTTTTTATAAATCCAGATTTGTCTTAGTTTGTGTGTGTACTTCTTACTGCTTTCTACATACATATTGTAATCCTAGGAACATATATGTACATGTTTTTAAAGAAATTCTAAAATCATTATTTTGGGTATAAGAAAAGTGGCTTAGCAATGCTGTTCCAAACCCTTCACACAGAATGTCTTATTTCAATGCACCTAATGCTGCTCTTCCTAAGAAGTGAAACAAGCATTTACTTGGGGCTTATTTTAATGTTTCTTTTTATTATTATTATTATTAACTTGAATGGCCACATTGGACCACTTGAGTCGTTCCACTTCACTTTTTACTGTTCATGGTCGACTGTCGAAGGTGTGTCACCTTGAGGTGAGGGTAAATCCTCCAGTTACAATTCTGAATGTTATTCAGAAAGGTGATGATGAGAGATGGAGGATGATGGATGATAGGGGATGAAAGGATGAACACAATACAACCATGCCCGAGGCAGGACTCGAACCCGCGATCTTTCGGTACGAGATCGCTACGGCACTACTGCCTTAGCGATCTCGGCCACCGGATCGGCTGTTTCTTTTTAGTATGTATATAGAACATTTATCATTAGTTTTTTGATATATACAAAAACTGTTTTTAAAAATTACATAGTATACTTTTTTTCGATTTTTCTTTCCATGTTATTAACATTTTTTTCTTCACAAGTATTAGAGCCTTCCAAGAAGTGTGTTTGGGGTCCCCAAAAGAGTAAATTAGGCTTTTATAGTCTAAAGATTTTGTTGAAAAGTTCAATTAGGAAACGTGAAGAAATTACATACAGAAGAATTTATGCTTAAGAGCCCTTTAAAAACATATTTTTTCTTCTATATTTGTTATATGCCTGTGACCACATCACTCCAAGATATGTTCTTCTGCTAGCCAAATATGCTGTTGGAGCATTGCTTCAGTTGATTTTGCTTTAAAGTTGTAATTCAGTTCAGTACACATACATAGAGCATGGAAAAGACATTTAAGATACTTAAATAGTAAATTTAGCCACACAGCTGTCTATAATTATAACCCAAAACTTAAGAATTATAGTCATTATGTGCCAGTATCAACAGCTTAGGAAAAGAAAAAAGTAATAAATAAATATATTTAAAAAAATGACTAGATTTATTATTGTTGAACCGTTTGGGTAAATGAGGGAATTGTGGTAAATAATAGTTTTGGACATTATGGAGGAACATGTTTATCAATGCTCATATCGAGCTTCTTCAACATGTGTAATGCCATTATTTACTCTTGAAAACCTCAAATGGAAGAGCAATCACACAGAACTATGACATATTAATTTGTGCAAATTCAATGTAAACATTGAAAATAATATCAATTTCACATTATTTTCCTTCTTACTACACTCCTTCCCTTTAGATTCCTCATTATCATAACTTACTAAATTTATTTCACAATTTACTAATTATCACAATTTACCAAATTAATTTCTATTGATTCTAAAAACTTTTAATATTTCTTTTACATTAAAATTTTATGACCATGAAATAGTATTTCATTAATAACTATTTTAATCGGTATGTTTTTTATTTATTTTTAATGTAGCCCACTATTTTATGATGCAAAAATGGAATCGTCCAGTTTCCCTGATTCTCAAGCAAATGTTCAGATGGCCCCTTGTTTTGCTTCTGGACATAAATATAACTTCAAATTAACTTCTCCCTATAGCACGTCACACACAGATTTAAACTGTTTTTGAAACGAATGAACGAACGAGCAAACGAAATAAATAAATAAGTAAATAAGTAATAAAACTGACCTCATGACCATCATTATCATGATCCCTTTGGGAAGCAAATGGATCACGCTGCTCATGGTCCAAATACTTCTCTAAGTTGAAGAAAGTGTCAAAAAATATAGGAGTCATTTTACATCTTTTCAGATCTGAGAGAGAGATTTTGCCAGACTGTGCTGGATGTATCATATCAAGCATCTGGAAAAAAATAAATTTTAGATGTAGTGCACAGTTGGTAATAAGCTTGCATCAATTTATGGACAATTTAAGGGCAAATAAGGGAGCACTCTCATTGATAGCAACTAATTTCATTTAATTAAATAACACAGCATGGTGGAAGGACCTCCCCTTCTGACTGTCCTTGGACAATCTCCCACTTATGATTATATAAGTGTTGATATTATTATTTTTATAATAACATTCTGCTCCATACCTGACATAAACAGTCTTCAAAAGGTAATGTTTCAATTCCAATAGCATCCATTCGTTGCAACTGCTCTTCATAAAAATACTCTAATTCATACATGGACAAATAACCATCACCATCCAAATCCATACATCTGAAAATAGAACAATGGTTCAAAAACAAAAATAAATATCATACACGAAACACAAAGAAAAAAATGTATGAAGAATCTTGTTATATTTAATTATATTATAGAACAAATCTTTTGATAAGCAGCATAAGTAAGAAACAAAATAAATCATGTAGAAGTGTCTCATAAAAAAATATAACAACAATATTGCATCTTATCTCAATTTCATTTTTAATGCTACTCAATAAATGTATATATTCTGAACATGAGTTTCACTTCTCACAAACAACAGAAAAATAATACAAATATTATAAAGCAAATTTCCATATTTAAGTAATTATGAACATTTTAAATTATTTCCTACAATTTTTAATGAGATGAGCAAATTACATCTTGTTTAAAAGTAAAAATGTTTTACCTAAACCAGTACTCAATTGCAGTTGGATGCCTTTTATCCTCTTCAGACAGCAGAAACCACACAAAGTCAGTGTAACTCATTTTCTCTTCCTGGTGTCGTCCTCCTCGAGTAACAGCTCCAGAGAATATGCGGTCTATCATCCTCGTCGACAGGGCTAAAATAAAGACATTTGAATGTGAGAAATGGAAAATAAGTAATAAAATCATATGTGTCATTTCACAATGTGCTGGGTAAGAAAATTGAATTCTTACATGCCTTTCCAAACACATTTAATGAACACACTGCCATATAGTGATCATTGAACAAGATTAAGATCACTGATATAATGATGTTTGATGCATGACAATTTAGTTAGCAGAATATATTCCTATTAAAAAAATAATGTACATTTTTATGTAATAATGTAAAGGAGAATACAGTCGAAATTTAATTTTATGATATGAAAATTTACGTAACTTTTAATTTAAAAATGGAGCAAAGAATATAATGAAACACTACGAAAATTATATAAAAACAGCTGAAGCTTTCTTTTAATCATCACACATTGCATATGTAATAACGAAAATAACAACAATGCTATCACTCTAAACACTTTAGTACAATGTACCCAAACATGAAGTTAATGTAAGAAATTGACAATCCAATTGAGCCAGTACATATGCGTCATTCAGCGCTTCCAAGGCAAACATATTGTACAGACTTGTTAAAATTAACACACACATTTTAGATAAATAGAACCTAATTTCTTCTAATGTTTATAATAATATTATGAATTATTTGAGTTGGTGCATCAATTAAAAGTATTGACAATGCACAGAGCACTAGTTAGCAAAGATCTTATATCCTACTGGTAAATACAATAATATAGTATTTATTTACAAATCCAAAGTTAACTTTTGACTCATTTGACAATAAAAGGCAATGAAATCATACAATATGACCAGCAGTGTACACTGACAATGAGAGACTCTCGATGGGCTCTAGGAGAATCAATGTCATCACAGCTATTAGTACTAACCATGGTCACTGTGTCTGGCCAAATCTTGCCTGTCAATGTATAAATCATGATCTCGATCAAGTTCCCAGAACTTGCAGTATATGACATAAAAATGTTCATAACTGAAGTAAGCTGTCACTTGATTAATATCTTCTTCTTCCTCTAAAAGCCGAATGATACGTAGAAGATCAGAACGACGTAATTCTGGCAATGAGATCTTACCACTCCATGAACGGTTCACACAATAGAAAATACGTGTAATGACCTGTAAAATACAAATAAATAACGGTAGTAAGTAATTTGGCATTACTTGCTACAAAATATTTTTTTCCACAAAAAACAACAAAACAAACAACAACAACACTGACTATGAGCCTAAGAGATTAAGAAAACAGTCATGTATAATTTGATACTTAACAAAGCAATGAAATTCAGAGTCTCAAACAAGGAATTTTCAATTTTAAAGTAATAATAACATATTAAAGGAATTAATCATTTCTTTGTTTTCATTCTTTCATTTTTCAATTACTTACAAAATTGTTTCTCCAGTCATTATCATTATTGTTTAGAATATGGTCTTGGTATATTAAGAATTGTCTTTAAAAGATATAAGAATATTAGTAATATGACTGTGTTGTAATCAGTATTCTTGTTGTCTGTATATTTACATAACATTAAACCAGAACATGACATTCCAATAAAGGAGTTACAAATTACCGTATGCACATAGCGTGAATGGAACTCAGTGGCTTCTTTGAGAAATGTTAAACCTGGATGAGTATCAACAACATCTTGCACCATTGGGATGAAATCCTCTGTGGTCAAATCACGCATCTGTCCTTTTGAAAGAATGTAGAAAAACTGAGCAGCAGCATCATGACATGTTGAGGACATCCTGAAAGACACAAAAGAACATTTATTTCAGCGTTCATGTAATTTATTAATGAAATCATGAAAAATAGAGAATTTATAAAGTACACAATTTGCAAACTATACTATAAAGTACACACTTATATACTATTTGCAAAGGATCAATTTAAAATTGGAAATTAAGAATGACTTTATTCACATTGATTGTCTAAAGCCAAATCATGGAACTGCAATCAATATCATAATAAGAATTATAACATCAAAAGTGGTAGTAAGTGGTAGTGGTGGTAGTGGTGACGATGGAGGTGGTAGTGGTAGTGATAGTAACAGTGTTAGTAGCAGCAGCATTTTGCCAATTTTTGATAGAGTACAGATGATAAATCGCAAAAACTTCACACCTTGATATATTTAATTTTTCTTTTGAAAAGATTATATCATCAATACATTTCATCACAGAGATACACCCAATCTACTTACGTTTTCCAAAATTCTATAAAGCTGTTGGCTTCAACATAACCCAATTTCTCTCCACCGGCAGCAATAAAGAGTGGAATTTTCCAGTAGAGAGGGCAGTCACAAGCCTGTAAAATATAGAAATATTGAAAGCTATGCTTCTAAATAATTTTGTTGTAAAAGGCAAAATGTACTGTAAATGGCTGATTGCAGTAATGAGGTTTTTGATACTCTTTGCACTGAATTTTAGCATTTTAAATCTGAAATTCAATTAGTTCTTTTTTAGTATTAACATTATTCATTTTCTTAGGTACATGAAATATTCTATAGACTTAATGGTGAATATTTTTTTTCTAATTTATTAAATAACTATTACTTAATTTAATTCAAATTAAATGAATATTTCATTTTCACTTTATTTATTTGGTAACTTTTTATTTCCTTAATTACGATTTTGTGTACAAAGAAGTATACAGAATAAGTACTATGATTCTACAGAATTCGATCCTTTTTCACATTTGGGTATCACAGTACATTCAAGGGATGTAAAATTAGCACAAACAAAAAGAAACTAGTAATGTTAATGTGTATGGTAAACTAGGGATGTTACAAAAGCACATGTGACCTGCACCATTCTTTTAAGCATTTCTTGTATCATCTGTGGGAGAGAGAGGGAAAAAAAGCAGTTTTTTGAGAAAATGTGTTTTTATAAGTTACATTAATTTCAAATTAGTATACAGAAATGAATTGTTAAAAAAATAGTAGAAAATGACCACTTATAAAGAGTTGATTTTGTAGAGAAGATTTTCTTGAAAGCAAAAATCTCTATCTTCAATTCTGTAGTTTTGAAATGTTAACATTTTGCAATTTTCAAAAATTGAGAGGTTGCCGAAAATAAAACTAGCATCAATTTTTTTACTGACTTTGATAACTTGAAGAGAAAATTTAAAAAAATTAAAGAAAAAATTGGTGGCGTTTTTGAGAAAATCTTAGTTTTCAATATTTTAAAAATTGCCCTTACTTCGCCCAAAATTACATATTTTTTCGAAAAATTGTGCATGACTTTATTTCAAGATGTCTTTCAAGAACAGGTTTCATTAAGGAAAAAATCTTATGTTCAAAACTGTAGATGTAGGAAGACGCCATAAAAACTAAACTTTAGCAATTTTTGAAAAATAGGGGGTTTTAACGAAAATGAGATCCGCGCCATTGTCTTAAGGCTTTTTGAGAACAAAGTTTAATCAAAAAATTTGGAACCATTTTTGAGAAAATTATGAAAATTTTGAGACTTTAGTTAAAGTACTCCCAAAAATCAAAATATGCGTCTCAAACTCGGAGGGCCCCGAGTTCCTCGTTGATCGAGGAACATCAATTTCAATCAGTTGGTTTTGGCGCTAGCTGTGACCACAGGCGGACGGACAGACTCGGTTGTGCCGTCAATCGATTTTTCGGTATCAAAACCCCACAAAACACGGATTCTGATTACACAAAATGTTGGAAGGAGTGAGTGTTAGAAGTAATTTTCTACATGTAGGACCTACAAACCATTCGATTCTATCAGAGGAAGTAATTTAATATATACAAAGGTTCAATATTTATTACCTTATTCGTTGGTAGGTCCCGGCAATAAGATTTTTTCTGATGAAAATTCGCCGTTTTCAAGCGTAAGTTTACAGAACTTTCTCCTCTTACGAAGTACGGCCAAGAAAGTAAAAATGAATGTCGAGATTTTAAAGGAAATGCACTTTTTGCCGCTCCCTACTGATTTTATCTCTTTTCTTTTTCAAAATGTCATTTAGTTACGTCCGTCCGTTCCGACGAAATTATCCCAGGGTTTTTATGTAAAGTACCCCCCAAAATGAAAATCTGTTTCAAATTCAAGGGACCGCGATATGAGCCAAATCAATTGGGGAATATCAATTTTGGAAAAAATCGGCTGCATGATTTAGCAGCTAGCGTTGTTCACAGACGGACTGACACGTTTTGCCATCATTCGATTTATCGGTATCAAGGATCTACAAAACAGATTTTGGCTATACCACGTGCTAGAGATTTTTTTTCTACATTTAGCAACTGGATTTATCTACTTTATGTTTTCAGTTGGTCGGACACTTAGTCAGGCAAGCTAGTGTTTGTCAGCGGGACACGGCTCTCTACAACACGTGCGATGCAAGTGGCATGAAATCAGACGGGATTTGTCTTTAGAAACAATTGTGGCTAAGACGGTGAAACAGCGCTAACGCACCAAATAATCATATTGAAAATGGCTTGCCAAAAAGTGCAAAAATCCTATCTCACCGGGATCCGAGCGCGAGTGCCACGCAACGGTTGAGCTCCGTTGGTTGGAGCATCTGTGCAGAAAACGGAAGCTCCCGGAGGGATGCAATACTTTTTTTTTTCTTTCGATTTTCCCCTGTGTGTTGCCCTGGAGAGGCGGGAATTTACTTAGCTTTTGGGATACATAAAATATATTCGCAGCAGCCGATTGGGCTTTAGCAGCTTGGGCGGGCCGAACTTAAATAAACTAACTTATATTAATTTATAACTAGGTACATGGCTGCTTTGGGCTGTGGTATGGGCTGTATACATGAGGTTTTATATATCCGTTGTAAGTTCTTTATATTGTTCTTTCTTTTTTTCCCAATACTTGCGCTACTTGCAAATACCTGCCGCCCAGCGCGAGGGCGAAGGTGTAGGTACCTTGACGACGTCATGGAAGGCGTCGCGCGGCGCCTGCTGGTTGGGCAGCGCTCGGAAGGCTGCCGCCACCCGCTGCAGCAGCTGGTCGCCTTGCTGCTGGTCGGCGCTGGGCTTGCCCTTCGGGAAGTAGAACCTGCGCCCACACGCACCCGCACATCCACCTCTGCCCTTCTCAACATTTTAACATGGAACTGTTGGCTATCACTAAGTTAACATTTTAATTTTATTTTTTTTTAAATTTTTAAACAGCTCGAAAATGAAACGATTCTTCTAATAATATTCCTACTTCTACTCCTTTCTCACGAGAAATTCGAGGGGAGCTTGATTAATCATGGCAACTATACAGACTGAGAGTAAATACCACAAACTTCTATGGCATGCAGAGGGGTCGAAAATGACCGCTTGTTGCCAATGAACGTGTAGTGGTCAAAGTCATATAACAGAGTTACATAAATATGGCATTTGCCCCGGATTGTTAGGCAAGTCCTAGCGCACAGGCGTTCTGCATGTCACGTTCTGAAGCAGACAAGGATATTTCATTTACCTTCCGATCACCTGTGCAGACGAGGTTGCCTAATATTCGGGAGATAATATCACACGTGTAACTCAATAATATGAAATTTCCACTACAGTTCATTGGCAAGAAGCGATCATTTTCGACCCCTATAAATTTCCATAGAAGTTTATTTTGAGACACCTTGTAATGCATGTTTCAAAACAAGAGAAATATGGCTTGTATATTACATATGTAACTATTTATGAAACTCCTCGAAACGCCACCACCCTCTATCGTTTATGTGCATTGATCACTAGTTGACAGCATACGCAAAAGTGAATGCGCTAGATGATACGTTCCAAGGTTAAAGTAAAATTGAACAGAAGTTATACGATGAAATGGCAGATCTGCGTATCAGAAATGATCGATAGAGTCATAAGTAAAGTCCGGGAAAAATCTAATGTGAAAAGTTGAAATATTTACATAAATAGGCAATGAAAACTAAGAATATGTATTGAATATGTAAAAGGGTAATTATTTGTATTATAAAAGTACGCTCTTATTTTCTCATGTACAAGCATTAGCAATAGAAGAAGATTTTTGGAGCTCTGAATTGCTTATAGTGAAATTTCCATTCCTGCGACTGTGCTGACTGAAACATTTGTGAGAGTATTACGCTGTTGCCATGATTTATAGAATGACCCTCATAGTATAATTTAAACACGGCAATGTTTAGAACATTAAATTTTAAAAGTATGTTAATTTAATGATAATAAGAGTTTTTGCATAGCATGAAGCACTATAAGCGTAAGAACTCGCTTTTGAGACTTTATGCAAAAGTTAGAATAGTTATATCGGAAAACGATATTCTACCAGAATTATCGCGACTTATATAGGATACTATACAATTAACTTGATCACGATATAAGGAATATGTTTCCAGCTTTGGCGGCAGTATGAGCTGTTATCTTTATGATCCCATCATTTAACACCATGTTGGTAGGCAGCTCTAATCGAAGAAATGCTGATCGAGAGGATGTGGCTATATGGAAATTTAGCGTTAACAAAACACCTCCTAATAGTTCTGAACTCATAACTGGAGCATAGTTCGGAACTCCTGACCTTAACGGTGGCCACGACTAGGCCACCTGTGTAAGATTTCTTCACCCCAATGAAGGCTATCTGAACTTTTTTTTGTTTTTTGGAACTTCGAGTCAGCTTCTTTCATTTTAAAATAATTTGCAATTAATATAAAAATATATTGAAAACTGTTTTAAGAATTTAACGTTGCAAACTAGACTTCAAATTTTCATAACTCATTACAAAAATATCACAGCAACGAAGATAAGTTCACGCCCTAAAAGAATTTGATACACGGAAAACAGGGACTGGAGAAATAATTGTCAATGCCACTTGTATTAGGACCGCATTATTTTCTTCCTACTATAATTTGTACCAAATAAAATGTTTACTTTGTAACCGAAAACCAAATCTATTTTAAACTGTTTTAAATCTATTTTACGGTAGGCAGGAAAACTGACATAAACCGGATCTAAATTTCGTATTTACTTAACAGGCTCAGGTCTTGGGAAGAGTTTTTGCAGATTGGGACTTTCCCCTTAAATCCGCCTCTGCCAGAACTACTTCTACCAAAACAGTAGTAGAAGTTCCGACAGAGGCGGATTAATAGTTTGAGAACGAAAGCTGTATAAAAAGCTCGGAAGATGTGCAACTCGCAGAAGGCCCGTGGTTGGCGGCGGCCACAGATAATCTCATTTTGGACGAAATTTTCGGTCGGCTGACGTCGGACATTTTCGTCCCACGTGCCGAATTCGTTCCAACAAGAGCCGGTGAACTAAAACGGTCATCGTGAACCCGAGCGACCTCTTCCGACGGCGTCCGAGAACAACGTCTGTCCCACGGAGATCTGCTTCGTTCGGGTTGGTCCGGCCGAAAGCGCCTCCGCCGCGCGCGCTGACGCACCTGGGGATGTGAAGGTTGCGGTGCGCGCGCACGTGCCGCTGGAGGGTGGTGTTGGGCGGCAGCTGCGGCTGCGTCGGCGTCTGCGCGTGCGCCTGCGCGCTGGGCCGCGCGCTCTCCTTGGCGCCGCCGCGGGCGTAGTTCTGCAACAGCGGGACACGCGCACTCAGCACAAGCGCTCACCAAGGCGAATATCGATGGTCTAGGTTCGGAGAAGGAACTAAAAGAGACTGTCTACAAAATGGGAATGAATAAAATGAAGGAGGATTATCTCGTGGTCAATAACGCGGTCTGAATTGGCTACATTAAGCATAGAGAGAAGCATGTGCTATGAATACACGATAACTACGAGTCTTAAGAGGATACGGTATTATTACAACAGTAGATAATGATGTGATAATAATCGTCAGAATTAAATACCACTATCTATAATGTAACTGTTTTATAAGAATAATACGAAGGGGTTAGTGAACTGAGCTCTGAATGAATGAATACTATGTTAAATGGTCAGTGAGAGAAGCAGTATTACTTCAAAACATGTTTCGCATTCATTACATAGTTTGTGGAAGATTTTCTTTACTTTCATACACAATTGATGAACTTCCACAAGCTTTATGTTGCCCCTACCAATATTGACACACATTAATCATGGATGAAGAATCGTTTACATTGTGTAAAAAATAAAGGCAAAACCATTAGAAGTGAGTTGGGAGACTAAATGCTTAATCTCATATTTGAACAAGAAAATAAAAAAAGTTTATAATGTTTTAAAAGCTATATTTCAGTCTCTGAGAAGGGTCCTACATATTTCGAAGTTAAAGAAAAATAAAAGGTAAAGTATCTAAAATTCTATTCAGCAAAAAAGGCATATGTTTGGATTTTCCCGCTGCATGACGTTTATCAAGGCATCATTATTCCAGGGGTTTCTTCACCAAACCTTACAAACATATGGTGACAGTCAAATAACAGAGGATCCAAAAAAGTATTTTCCAAGCGCTCTGTAGAAAACAAACAGTCCCAAAAGTCTTGCCACTAATAAAAAAGTAGCGTTATGACTGTAGCTGTCTGCTGAGTAGACATGAGTCGTGACAATGTAAGCAGCAGAGAGATTCTAATGCAAATGCTTTCATCAACAGTATTCATTAGGATCTGGTAGCGAATTACTTGGAATGCGTAATGAGCCCTGCAGCTGCTAATAGTTCGTCTGGCTCTTCCGGGAGCAAATAGAGTTTCATCACAACGTTTCCGTTTTTACCTCCAAGTAAGAAATGGTGACGCTTACGTACTGAGATTAAAGGAAACGCAAATAATCTTACTGAACATCGAACATTTAGTTTAAGCTGGGTATTCTAAATGTATTTTTTCTCCAAAATTTATGGACGACATTAAACCAAGGCAAGAAGAATTAGGCTTAATCAAGTAGAATTTCATATATTTCTTTTAGAAAAGTTCTACACAAATAATAAACAAGATTAACTATCCAGTAAAGGGAAAAAAAGAAGTGACCGCTTTTATGTTCCGGAATCAGCAAAGCAGAGATACTTTGCGGATGACATTGCATCAAATTTGGTAAACAACTACAACAAATATCGATCCAAGAATTTGAATATATATATATATATATATATATATATATATATATATATTTGTGTGTGTGTGTGTACTGATTGCTCTCATCGTGATTTAGGGCCTGTTGCAATCATGACATTAAAGAATTTAGAACTATAATTTAATTTGTCGAGAAAATCAAATGCATATCACCACATTGCTCAAATAATCATCCAAAACCATCGTCTAATATTTGTAAAAGGGATTTCTTTGTCGCCAACATCTCGTTTGGGATTTAGAGGAAGAACATAGAGGGGAAAAAGTTTCACGCGGTCAAATATAGTGGCGGCTCGTGAACAAATGTTGAAGGCAGGCAAAACAGATTAGAATGGTGGCTTCGGAGGAAGAGATGGGGAGCGGGCGGCGTGGAGTCATCCGAATGTGCTCACTCTGACTCCTGGAGACGAGTGAAATGGCGCAGCAAAATATGAAACGATAATGAAAGCCCAGCATCATGTTATGAAACGCTTGAGCTCACAATATAGCTCGCACCGAGATAATGGAATTCATTTTATTTTTCCAGCTAAAAATACAAAAACAGTAAGAATATTTTAACTTTATAATGTTTTAAACTATTACGCAATCATCAGGGAGCATCCCCTGTAAATGTCCTGTAAATCATGTCTGGTTCATAATATTTATGTACAACTATACTTTGAGTGTCTAAGACGAAATTATTTTATAATAATGATTTTTAATGCATTTCTTATCTTTCCCATTGTATACAGAGGTCTCATAGTAAATGGTATGAACTTAGTAATAGGTATGTACGAAAGCCGAAGATAATGCCAACGAACCTATGTTGAGATACTTCAAGTAATGAAGATACAAAAGTAATATCTGCGCCTGGTTTATAGGCAACTCATCATGCATAAGTGTTTGGCGGATCACATCCGGACGCAATGAAAGGGATTTCGTGTAACCATTCAACCGCAAAGACCGATGACTTCCATACCAATCAGGCACAAATGTCACATATGTGACTTCGTTATTTGAAATTTCCCGTCACATGATCATTGGCGAAAAGGTACCGTCTTGACCTCCCCTTTTTTGACTTAAGTTTGTAACATTTATTCTGAGACGCGCCGTAATCCAAAGTTACCGAATACGCCATCAAAATGTATCCGGCGGTGAATCTCAATTAAGATTTTTTGTTCAGTATTCGTACATCAATTAAGCCAAAGGTCCATTGTTTCAATTCTGGACAGTAAATGTAAAAAAAATCTCTTCCCTTATATCTCCTAAAATCACTACTGTTTTAAAAGTTAAATATTAGTAATTTATTACACAAAACGGCCAAAGTATATTTTATAGATTGTGCAATATTTTGTTTTATTTTATCCTATTTGTTTCAGTAAAACACAAAAGAAAAATAATGTCATGTTACGTTACGAGGTTAGTTTCCGCCTTCGCCGTAAGGTGTATTTAAAGTCGAGGAGAATAGTTATAGTATATTATGCAATTCGTTTATAACGTTAAGCTTTATTACACGATTATATATTTTGAAAACGAACGACGGTAGAAGCGAGCATTACAAATTTATAGAAGGATCAAAGTTAATTTTTGGAAACGACATTATTGCGACGTCAGGGGTATTTGACATCTGTGCGAAGAAAACGGCGGCCAGCTGTTCGATTTATCGCTACCTTCGCATGATTCTCGCGCTGCTGAATGTGCGATGATGCAATTATTCGTGCCGTAAACAGTAAATACGACATAATCTGTGCCATAAGATGTCATTTTCTAAACGATATCATGTAACAAAAAAGATCGTTTACAATGATGGAATACTAAAGATGTTTATGCACCACGGACGTTACAAGGGTTTTAATGATCGAGTGGCGACAAACCCCCCGCAGAGACTTTTGGCCCGGGGTCTTTTTGTCGCCCGAGATCATTAGAATCAGTTAACGCCCGTGGTTCATATAAGATTTCCCTTTTACCTAATTTCAATGAATGAGATTTACTAATTAACTAGATGTTAACATGACTAGGTTTGTCTCTTCATATTTCCCTCCCATATATTCCTCCATTAGACCACATCTACCATCGTTCAACCGTCTTCATATTTCCGTCGTAACCAGGGCCCTTTCGATCCAGGTAAGTTATGCAGTGTGCATCGAGCAGTATCAATCAGTGTATATCGAAGGCAATAATAACAAGCAATAACGTATCAGTATATATATATATATATATATATATATATTATATTATATATATATATATATAATATATATAGTATATATATCGCCCTCGAAGCGCATTAAAGAGTTTCTTCAGCGACGTACAGTAACAAGTGACAGAGGCGCGCGCGCGCGCGCGTAACCTGGTTGATAGGAGCGCGGGCGGCGCAGGCGCGGCGGGCGGTAGGGGAAAGCGGCGGGCGCGCGTGTGCGGCGCACGCTGCCGCAGCGCGCGCGCACGCGGCGCAGCGCGCGCGCCACGCCAGCGCACCGGCCCCGGCCCGCGCGGCACGCGCGCTCGCGCGGTTCGCCCTCTCGGCGGACCGCCACGTCGGGCACGCGCGGCGTCACCACGCCGGTCTTCGAGCACGGTGGATTGGTCACTGGAGACAAATCCGGGTTTGCTCCCCGCACACGATAGTAATTCCACGAGTGAAAATGATCTTCGATGCCGTCACTGTTCTGTGTCGTCTGTGATGACTTGCGGTGAACGATTCTCAGACGTTTCCGAGGAGAACTTCACGCGTCAAAACGATCTTCCAAGACAAACTCACTGCTACACTTGATTGCTCAAGGTATCAAGAGTTCATGTACCCGTATTGGCTATTAAGGTTTCGGTGCACACAGTCTCACAAAGTTGTTCTTCGATCCCTGTGGTTTGGTCACTGAAGAGATAACCGGTTCAGTCCCTCGAAGACCCGTAATTTCACGAGTAAAAATGATCTTCGAAGGTGTGACCGCTCTGTGTCGGTCGTGATGTCCTGCTGTACACGATTCTCGAACGCTTCCGATGAGAAATTCACGCCCAACGATGATTTTCCAAGACGATACACACTCACTGCTTCCTGGTTTCTGAGAGGATCAGAGTAGCTGAAGTATGCGTATTATCTGTCAACTATTAAGACTTCGAGGCACACACAATGCTCAGAAATGTTTATGATCACTGAGGGGAACTAGCATGTCAGCCCTCCAAACACTGGTAATTCCACGCGCAAAATGATGTAATTTCACGTGTTTTAAAGATATCTTTGCCTTCGTCTATGTTGTAATTGTTCTGTGAGGATAACTTTCCTCAGAAGTACGATCTTCCAAGACGACACAAACTCAATGCTCGTTGATACCAGCGCGTAGAAACCGTTAAATCTAGTGAAGGAAACAACTTCACAAGCTCTTGCAAATCCACATGCAAAAATTATCTTTTAGGCAGACGTCACTGTCCTTCTCTTCGCTTCGACTGCTCTGTGCTGCTCGCAGCGATCTTCGATGCGCGATACTTGGAGTCTTCCAAAAACGTCTGCTCATACCCTTTGGGGAACACGTGCTGCCACGAACAGATTTGGAGGCCTCGCAATTCGACACTTCCTGTTGTTGCAGGAACACTGAAGAGTATGCGCGTTTAGGGATGTTTACGCCCGGTGAAATAAACTTAGTTCGGGTCACTAGCACACACACTTCACGTATAAAGATTATCTTCGAAGATATCACGCACTGAGCGCTACCCGTAATCTTAGGAACACTTGAGATATTTGGACTAACCAGTATTTTAGAATTATCCTTGGTCCGTCTTTGAGCCAACCATAGTTCTCATTATTATAAGACACGCAAAAATCTCCGATGACGTCACAAAACGATTATCAACTTAGGAACACGTGAGGTCACTGGACCAATACGACCTTCAGGAGCACCCGCATCGTCCATATCATTGAGCAAACAAAACCCTACAATATCACATCAAAAATGTAACCGAAGACAAAAATCGCAACGCTATTTGCCTGAGGAACACTTGAGGACACCGCGAAAATCCGAAAGAGGAAGACCCCACGGCGCCGGCATCTTTAGACCGCGAGAAGTCCTGGTTCCGAGCCGCTTCCCGGCCACAGGCGCGATTTGGGACGCGCACTCGCCGATAGCGCGCGCCGCGGGCGGCCTACGGAGCAACGTACGGAGGAGCGCTCCTCGCGGCCACGCCCCCGCGCGCTGTGCGGCTGCGGCCGCGGCCCTCCGTGCGCACAGGCCGCCTCTGTCTCTGAAGGCGCCCTATTTTTAGCGCGCGGAAGCGACGCGACCGCGTTGCAGCAGCAGCAACTGCTGGTGCTGTTGCAGCCGGCGGCGGGGGCGTGGGTGCGTGCGTGCTCCCGTGCCGCCCCCGCGAGCCTCGCTCGCACCCGCGGGGGCGCGCCACACCCCCGGGGGAATGTTCCGGTCCGCTGGGACGGGATGCGGCAGTGTCGAATTTCAGGCCGTCGAAGTAGTTTGTCGTTCAAATGTCTTCGGTGTGCAAGCAAGTGGATTACCTCAGAATTTGATGAACCCCATTTATCTGACAAAATCAGTCTGCTTCTTCAATTTTTCTGAGGAGCACATACGTGTAGTTCGACGACTTGCTTGAGGTGTCATGCCAGGTCCACTAAAAGTTTGCTTGTAATACAATGTTACCTTCTTTGTTCATTTTCAGAGAGACTGGAGACGATAGGTCCGTTCTCGTGTTAAGAAGATAGGCGACTATCATGACACAACGAAAAAGTTCGTCAACACTCGCTTATGTGACTTCATGAATTCACAGGATTTTACAGGCGTTACATCACGAGCGGTTGATGTTGATCGACGTCTGACATACTATCTCTGGTCACAGCTGATGTTGGGAGAAATATTTAGGTACAAAAATCACGAGACGCAGCGCGTGTAGCGCTCTAAATGCGGGACTGCGCTCTTCTGAAATCAGCGTCGAAGAACTAGCACGCGTCTGTAGCTATTACTGGTTGCGCTCACTGTTAAATGTTAGTCCGTGCGCATAACGTGCCGGCGCCGATGTTACGCAGGCGGGCAGACTAGGCCGGCAGTAGAGCGCGTGTTCTTGAGTAAAACACGCTGCACCTGGTGAAGCGATCTGCGCTGCGTTGACGGGTGTCGCTCTCGTTCTGTCTTGACTTCACCAAGCGACACTCACATAACCACTTCGCATTTGCTGACGCTACTCTGCGCTGGCCACGCACATCGGCCTTCGCTCGTTCCCTTGTCTTCTTTCCAACTGTTCCAATGTGTTTCTTCAGTTTCACTTCACCGGACGCAACTCATGTTCATGCCTTCTGAACAAAAACCTCTCTGTATGCCTATTTGTCCGCACACGCCGCTGTGTCCCCGAGCAGCACTCGCAGGGGCGACGATGACCGGGGCGGGCACGGTCTGCGCGCGTGCAGCGAGGCGCAGCGGGCGCTGGGAGGAGCACGTGGTGCGCGCAGGCGGCGCGGGCGGCGGACGACTGCTGCGCGTTGCTGCTGCGCACGCCGCACACGTCGCCGCCAACGCCACCGCAATTGAGTCATTCATTACGCTCGCGCGGGGGAGGAGGCGGGGGCGGGGGCGGAGGAGGAGGAGCAGAGGCCGCGTTGGGGCACCAGCCGCCCGGCAACGCGCTCTGGTAAGCAACTCTGCGCGATGCGTCGCCGGGCGGGGCGCCGCGCCGGTCTGCGCGACGACGTTCGCTTGATGGCTGCCCCGGAAGTGACGCGTCGCTTGCGTCGCAAGGCGAACGCCTACCACAACACCCACGAGAAAGAAATTTGCCTTCTCTTGTTTCGTGTCTCTTTATTATTCAGATCAATTTCGTAAGAATTAGAAGACAAGTATGAAAGTAATCTATGGCCTCGTATGATATTAACGACCATCAACATCAGAGTGTCACCTTTCGCAGAATAAATAGTCAAGTTTAAAATAATTGGGATTTTTACAAAGCGGAAAAACTAGCATGAAATTCGTATCTGAGTATCTAAATACAATATTAGGTCTAATGGCCTTGTGTAATTATTTTATTCCCCCGTATTGTAATGTCTAACGATATTTATTTCTAAAAACAATTGTTATTCAAGGTTGACAATTAAATATTTTTCGTAAAACTTTTACCACTCTAGACCATAGCGGAACTGGCATTAGTAAAAGCGAGAATAAAAGGAAATACATTTCATTCAAGGATCATACAACCATTTTTTACATTGCTCTCTATTCTAAAATTTTAATAATAGATGGTTTCAAATATTATTGGTTTTAAAATTTATATTCTTGTTGCAGCGATTATTATAGTTGGTGTTTCTGCTGTCAAAACCTCTAGATAGAGTTACAGTGGAGAGTTGACATCTAGTTACGTTTCATTTAATATTGAAGTTTCGAGAACGTCGAAGATTAGAGGTTAACATCAAAAGCAAAAAAAAAAAAAAAATTTTAAATACGCACGTGCATATAATACTATCAGAAATACGAATATATTGCAAAATAAAAGCTCACCGAAAGATTTTGTGCTAGGAATTGAAAAAAGGTAACTTTGTATTTCATGGTCGTTTTGCTTAATCTTGCAGTGATCCAGATCGCTGCGTTATGGGCCTAGACCTTAGGTCTCGGCATAATACATTTGATTTTCTTGTTTGACATTTGACATTCTTTCTTCGAAAGAATAAGGTTGGTTATAAATGGTCTTCGTGGTACTTCCCATCGATTATTATTCACTGACTATCGTGACTTTTTCGTTAAAAAATGTTCTTCGAAAGTGTGTGTTGAAACGTCTAGTGCTCTACTACTCTTTGCAGTAGTATTTGCCAATTCATTCGTTACCACACTGCCGATTATGTACACATTTTCATTCATATATACAGATAAACTCTTTTTTTGAGAAATACAAAACGCCAAGGTCAGATAGGATGACTCCCATCTATCGAGCTTATCTTATTGAAACATAATTGTCACGGAATATCGCAACACTGTGAACGTCTCGATACTTACGGAACTAAATAAAATATACTTGGCAGGATCGCTAAAGATCTAAAAAATTCTTAACGTCATAGGTTAACACGCAGCAATTAACGGTCACAGATGAAGTTCTTTAATCGATAGCTGGGAATTATAACAAACGAAATCCGATAGATTGTGATATCGGACATGTGCCGTTTAATATTTACTGTAATAGCATATTTCTGATCGAAAATATCATATATTTTTTTCTTTGAGTAGAAATTTTCATACGCCATCTTTAAGTTCAATAGATTTGTTTTGTTTTTAATAGATGGCGGTAAAAGATCGATAAAATCATTCGCGGAAGATGTCCTTTAAGAACGGCTTCTTATTTGATTGCGTTATGCCGATAAATGAGTGGAATATTTCGAAAATAAAATAATAGTATAAACGCGATGTAGTTCTGCTCATCGCTTCCCCACAAGCTGCTTATTCAGTTGGTTCTAGCTTTGCATTTGTGTCATAACGTCATAGATCAAAGTGAATAAGTCAACTGACGGAAGCAGTTTTGTTGTCGTTAAGATGAATGTTGTAACTAATGAGGTATTAAGCGTAGAAATTGTCATCTAATGGGCCGAAACAATGAACGCGGCAATATTTTTTGATTCCGGTCCTCGGACTCTTCAAAAAATTGGCTCAGTACGGAACTTATTTTTCAGGCTTGTAACTCTCATGATTCTTTCCGTTTCATTGTTCAGACATTCAATAGAAAGAGTAGTAAACATTAATAAGAGTTAATTGCCGCTAATATACATGTCATTCAAGTATTATGATTACTGTCCTGTACACTACAACCAATGTATTTGCAAAACGTATGCAACCTTTCACAAACACCGCTACTAAGAGTGCTCTGCAAAACGTAATGAATGAGATCACTCCAAAAATATAATACTAGTTCAGCGAGGCGCTTCCGGTGGGTAGTTTCCGGTTAAAGAGTTTTATTTCAGCTTAGAAAGTTCAATAATGAAATACATTTTAAACTTGGCGCATAAAAAGTGGTGGGTGCATAAAAAAGTATCGATTAAAATTATTATACATATTTTTTTTCACTGCAAATTAAGTTAAGGTTGTTAATCTTGTATGAATCATAGTTGATAAGTAATTTTACGTACAATCACCGGAAACGAGAGTCTGTAGAAATTCCAAACCTTTTCTTTCAAAATACTCATGGGTGCACTTGAAAACATAAAAATCTGTATGTTTCCAGTGGAGAGGAACTCGATTAATGAAACTCTGTAGATGTCGATGTCGCCACGAAATGCATTTTTACGTATTAGCTTAAAAACAAAACTAGCGTGGTTTAGAGAAATTTCTTAGAATTAATCTATGAGGAACCGCAAACAAATTATGAGTTCTCCACCTCAAGACAGAAGAGTCGAATGACACCATTTTTTTCACTGGTAGTGCGAATGATTCTAACGGTCAGTGACGAATAGACGAACAGACGCAGATTACTCTATTACAATTGCGAGGGGTAGGTTTCCAGAAATATCGCGAATGTTAAATCCACGATTGTCTTGTATATCTTCTCATAAGAAAAAAATGAGAAAACTGAACAATGTCTCTACATTGACTTTTGAACGCGTCTGTAACAAAAATCAATGCTGCCTCAAACACATAAAATGGTGATTACAAGTGTCTACCTGAGCATTTCGAAGATCGATAACAATTAGCTCCCACGGTTCACTATCAAACTGTGAGAGGAAACTACCTTTACCCTGGAGCAATTCTCTCTATGAACCATCGTACATAACAGACGCGGATTAGAATTCAAGAATTCTGTTTTTTTCACAGATTATACTGTATGTCAGTTGTAACACTGGATCTTATACTTCGTGAATCAACACTGGTCATTCGTTTTGAAAGATATTTAAGATCCTATGTGAAGACACAGTAGAGTATTATCAAGTTTCGCGGAG